CCGCTTCGTCATGCAGGTGCTACGGTCACCAGATATGCCAAGGAATATTGGCTGACTACCTCGGTGGAGCACAGGCAGGGAGACTGTCTGACGGTAGGCGAGCTGTCTAAGATTATTCCGCTGGTTCAGGGACACTTGGAGGCGAACCCTAGAAGATCTTGGGACTTCAGAGCCTGGGGACCTGTGGGGGACATGCTCCAGTGGATGCTCAAAGCGAAGTGGGATGTTGTGGTGCCTGGACATTTCTCGAGGCGCAATGGGGACCCCCTCATCCTGACGGCCACGCCATACTGTCAAGTCTCTAAGTATTTCGTGAGCGACTTAGGTAACCAGATGATTTCAGAACGAATGGACAAATACTTAGGGGAAAGTGACCACGAACGTGCGGGAGAGATCCTGGACAGGGGACTTTGGGTGGAACCTCCGAGGGCCTTCTGGAGAGGAAAATCGCACAAGAGGTCGAAAGTTCACCGCCGATGTGTTCGTCAGGTATTTACACGTTCGTATGTCACTGCCAGTACTCTCCATCGATGGGGATATCAGGTTTCTCCACTGTGCCCGTTCTGCCGCAGCGAACAGAGTGGGTGCGGGGACACGATCTGGCACAGGCTTTTTGAATGCCCAGGCTTGCGGGAGAAAAGGTCTGAGTTTTTGCCTGAGGAGCTGGTCAAGCGAGGGCTGGAGGCTGGTGCCGAGGACCCCCTGTACAGCTACCTGTGGCACCCGAATCCTGCTGGCATCTCTCCGTGTGCTTGGGATGGGGAGGTGAAGTATGTGGGCTCTGACTACCAACCGTGTGACAGATTTTGTTTTTCTGGGAATGAGTTTATCTATTCGGATGGCTCCTGCAAGGGGCCCACTCTTCCTGTGTCTCGGGCTGGGTGGGCGGTGGTGGCTGTCGACGACGAGGGAAGGTTTCTCAAGGCGGTTTTTGGGAATGTTCCTGGATTTCTCCCTCAGAGCGCTGTCTCTGGAGAAGTGTATGCGCTGTTGCAGGCGCTCGAGCATCTAGATAGCACCGTCGGCGATGTGCCAGAAGAGTATGTCATCCATGTCGACTGCAACTCTCTTTTCTCGGGCTCGGAGAACAGCTTCACGGCGACCTCTGGCTCGACTCCTTTGTCGGAGGTGTGGAGAGTGCTTTTTCAGAGGCGCTACCCAGAGTGGCGCCTGCAGAAGGTTCGTGCTCATCAGACGGATGAAAATCTCACAGGAGTGCCTCTTCGACACAAGCGAGGGAATGATAAAGCAGATGAATATGCCAAGGATGGGGTTCACTCACACCCCGACGTCCTCGACAATATTTACAAATATGAAATGGCGGAGGCAGACTGGAATGAGGTTGCGATGCCAGTAGCTAAGTTTCTGTCAGATCTGCCGACGGCCAAGGAGCTGTTCGGCAAGCTTAACAGAGAGCCGAGACCCCCGAAGCCGAGGCTGGTCTCCAGTGGCCGCGCTCACCGTGTGCTTTGGAACGGTTGCCGTTGGCGGTGTGTCCAGTGCGCCAGGTGCTTCTCCGAGAAGCGTGCGCCAGGTAGATGTGCCAGATTACCCCCAGCTCTCAAGGAGCTGGCCAATGCCCAGTTAGATCGCCCACACAAGCTGTATGTTTGTAGAGTGATCGAAACCGATCTTCCGATTGTGTTTTGTATGGTTTGCGGGGCCTATACTTCAGGCCAACCACGTAAGTTGGGGGGCCCGTGTGATAAAGCGTATGTGGTGCAGCGTCGCCAGATTCTCAATGGCAGACTCCCGTGGCCGAAGAGCCACCATGTCTCCAACCCCTGGCCCCTCATCCCCGATTGCCCCAAAGGGGGAGAGTGGTGGAATCTGCTGTACTAATTCATCTTAGTTTTGGTCAGCCCTTTCGTTCCTGGAATGGTAGGGTGAGGAGAGAGCCACTGGAAAAGCAGGCGGAGTGCGATGGCGGAGGTCTAGCAGAAGAAAGAGGAGTAGGAGGAGGAGGAGGAGGAGGGGGAGGAGGAGGAGGAGGAAGAGGAGGAACAGGAGGAGGAGAAGGACGAGGGGGAGGGGGAGGAGGAAGAGGACCAGGAATATCAGGATGAGGATGATGACGTGGAGCAGGAAGAGGAGGAGGAGGAGGAGGAGGAGGAGGAGGAAGAGGAGAAGGAGGAGGAGGACTATTCCTGGGCTATTCCTGGCTGCGCAAGGGGCCTTACATGTAAGTGGCACTGGCGGTGGGTGCATACTGCACACACGGAGCCTCTCCGAGCTATAGGGCATGCTGCGTTGCAGTGTAGCTGACGACGCTGTGTCCCAGCCTGACGCCAGCCGCCAGCCTGTTTCGCAGGCCAGCAACCCCTCCCCCCCCCGCGCGAACGGGTCCCAGCACCATAGCTGATGGCATGGCTCGCATGTCTGTCTGTCCTCTCGGCCGAGACACAGAGGCCCTGATCTCAACTATGTAGCTGATGATCGCTCCCGTCGACGCGGCTCCCGCACCGCGACCGCGTCTTTCTCGTGCCCGCACTCGTTCGCCGTGGCACAAGCACTCCTGCGCCTCCTTCACACGAGCTAATCTCTGCACTGTAGCTGATCGCTTGTGGTTTGCGCGCCCTGCCGTGCAAGGTGCGCACTTTGCGCACGAGCTGATCCCTGCCCTGGAGCTGAGGGCATGGACCCTGGGCGCTGTCCCTGCTGCCACTGCCCGCCCTTCTCACAAGCCGCTGCCCTGGAGCTGTAGATGATGACGGTGGGATCACCTTCCTCCCCCCACTCGGTACCACTGCACTCCATTCTCACAGTCCACCCTGGTCCCCCCCTGTGGCAGGGGTCGTGGGGCGGGCCTGGCTGTCCTTCGCCCCACACGCGCCTCTTTCTCGAGGTCGCTGTAGCGGCTTGCATGCTGCCACTGCCTGCTCTTCTCGCATGCCGTGGCCCGAGCGCTGTAGGTAATGACAGTGGGCTCTCCTTCCTCCCGCCATTTCCCACCACTGCACCCCCTTCTCGCAGTCCAGTCTGGCCCGGCTCTCCTTTGCCACCTGCTTTCTCGCAGGAGTTGGCCCCTTTGCTGCCTGCTGCCGCTTCCTGCCGTCCTCACACACCGTGGCCCGACCGCTGTAGTTGATAACGTTGGGCTCGACTTGGCCCATCCGCTGGCAACCAGTGCTCGCCTTCTCACATATGCTGCCGCTGCGAGCTGTCTCGCCGGCGGCACCCGCTGCTTTCTGCTGTAGCTGATAACGCTTGCTGCACTGTCGATCGGCGTCCGCTTGTCGCTGCTGCCCGCTCCTTGACCGCCGTCAGAGAATACTTCGGCCGGTCCGTCTGCCGCTTCATGCGGAGATCCCGTAGCCCGTCACGGGGCCCGTGCATCGTGAGAAAGGGATGCGGCCTCCTGAAGATAGGAGTACACCGGCGAGGGAGGCGGAGCTCTCCTTGACGGCGGGGAGAGGGCGAGAAACGGGAGAGGGGGGGCGCGGAGAGAGGAGTGAGGCCATCGCCAGATTGCGCACCCGGCTGTTGCCTGGTCCCAGGTCTATAGCTGATGACGTTGGGTTCCAACCTCTTGATGGCTCTGGGATTCCCTTCGGGGATCATCCGTTAAAATTGGAACGATACAGAGAAGATCAGCATGGCACCTGCGCAAGGATGACACGCACAAATCGAGAAGTGCATACAATTGTTTATTAACCTCTGGATGGCTCCGGGCGGCAGTGCCAGTTTCAATTTCGCCGTCCAGGTGGATGGTAAGGAGGAGGTGTAGTGGAAGGTGGGAGAGCGAGGGCGAGGAGGAGAATGACGCGGATGCGGAGGAGGAGGAGAAGGGGGAGGAGGAGGAAAACGACGACGAACATCTCGACGACGACGCCGAAGGAGCAGGCGGACCAGGAGCAGGAGGACGCGCGAACATTCTGAGGAGCAGCTTTGGCTAATCAAATGGTGTTTGTGTATACTAGACTCTGGCTATGATTGTGTTTTGTCTTCTTTCTCCCCCGCTTCGAACCCTCTGGGGGCCTTTTGACTGAAGGCCTCTTTGGGTCATGTAAGACGCCTGTTGGGGCCGCTCGGGGCCTCTCGGGGGCTCCTTGGGCCGTCTTGGGGCGCCCTTGGGCTGCATGGCGCATTCCGAGTCCGTCTGGGGGGCCGCTCTGGGCCGTTTGGGGGCCCCTTACGGTAGTCTCTGGCGTCTCTTAGGGTTCCCCTGGGTTGTCGTGGGGCCGTCTCCCCATCACGCTTTCGGGGCGCTGTATGCCCTTTGCCCGTTTCGGGGTCCCCTTGGGCCGCCTTTTCGTATCAGAGGCCTCTTGGGCCTGGCCATCTTGGGGCCGTCTTTGGACCCTCCTGGGTCCTGAGGCCGTCTTCGGTGCATCTGAGGCCGTATTGGGCTGATGGAAGTCCGCGTCGCAATGTGGTGCGGACACCGCCCCCCTTCCCTGGGCCCCCCGGGGCGCCCCGGACTTTGCCGCGGCGCTCGCCAGGGCCTCCAGGATGCACAGGACGGGCCGCCAAAGCCGCGGATATGGCCCGAGATGCCTGCAAGACGGGCCGAGATGGAGCCAAGACGGGCCACTGTGGCCTCCACCGACGGCCCAAGGGGCCCCCAGCATGGCCCATTGGCAAGACGCATCAGAGCCATTGACTTGCATACGCTTTGTGGGAGGTGTTCGCGTTGCACACCCGGGGCGATGCTGAAGAAAACTTACGTTTTCGGCCAGAGTCTCGATTATTCTTAATGTTTCAATGTAATTCCTAAGATTTTGATAGAAGTTCTGGGTTTCTTTTCAAATTCTGTTTATGAATTTCTTGAACCATGATTTCTTAAGCATTTCGCAGGGTGTGGCCTTTTCGAGGTGGGGCCCCCGAGAAGATGACAGACACCTTGCCACACAGCCCTTGCCATTCTACCACGCCTCAACGTGCCCATGGGGAGGATACCGGGAGCTCGGGACAGCTTGGGGATTCGTGCGTGAGTTTTTGGTAGCATTGGCATGCCAGTTGGTTGCAAGAGCACGCCAGATGATTCGGAAGCGCTCCAGGATTGTGGGTTTCAGCCTCTGCCGTCCTCGTCCTGCCCGTGCAACTCTTGGTTTACCGGCGGCTGCAACCTGCCCGAATGCGTCAGCGGAATGATGAACGGGCAGATTTGTGAAGCTGACACTACTCTGCCAGACGGGACCGCAAACTACGATATGAACAATTGCCCTGGCGGCAACGACGTGTGGCAATACGTATGCATCTCAACGGCAGTCCTCACGGAACCCTATAGTACCCCATCAGAAGCCCGCTATCATTGGCCTTGTGTTCACCCCATGTTTCTGTTGTTCGTTTGATTTGCCAAAGCCGAGGCTACCACAGATGTTGAGTGATCGCTTTCGCTTGCGAACCTCGATTGTCCTCTCTCCCTCTCCCTTCCTTCCTCTTGCATCCCTCCTCTCCTGCCTCTGGCCTTCTCAAACAAATTTGCCAAATAGCGAGTTCATGGCTTAGAGAGTGCGGAATCTTAGCAGTTCCCAGCCATCCTGCGGGATTGGATCCTCGTTTTGACGAGACGGCTCCCTCCTCCCATCCGTGCCTCTCCCGCCCCCCCCGCGTGTCTCTGTTTAGGTACAGCACTCTCACGTCTCGTGGCCCCGCCGTGGCGCAGTTCGCCTGTGGGCGTCACGCCCGTTTCGGCACGCCCCTCACACGTTTCGTGGCTCCAGAGGGAGCTCCGCCGAGTGCCTCCGTGGCGCAGTTGGCTTGCGGTTCCCCGCCCATTCCAGTACACCCCACAGGGAGCTCAACGGAGTGCCTCCGTGGCGCAGTGCGGATGCCGTTCCCCATCCATTTCGGATGTCCCCGACACGTTCCGTGGCCCCGTAGGGAGCTCCATCGATTGCCTCCGTGGCGCAGAGGGGATGCGGTTCCCCGACACGTTCGACACACTCCTCACACGTTTCGTGGCCCCATAAGGAGCTCCACCGAGTGCCTCCATGGCGCAGTTGGGATGCGCTTCCCCACCCATGTTAGCATACTCCTCACACGTTTCGTGGTCCCATATGGAGGTTCACCGAAATCGATGGTCACATCGCGGTTTTCACAGCTGCGTATGGTTGGGTTCTCCGCAAGGATGAGTGTCTAGGAATCGTGGCCCTAGGAGCGCGAATCGTTTATACACCCCGCAGCACCCCGCATTCGCGGATAAGAGTGAGGGGGAGGTGGGTGGCGGTGGCATCTGCAGGCTGCGAGGCTCTGAAAAGCCCGCCACAGGCCCCTTACTCTGACAAAGTATACAACGAGCCCGCCGCAGGCGCCAGTTTCTGCTAACGTAATGTGAGTAGGTAGCAGGGTTGGTCGCGGGGGTTCGCGGGTGGGTCGCGGGTGGATTGCGGGTCGGTCGCCGTGTGGGTCGCGGGTGGGTCGCGTAGTCGCGGGTGGATCGCGGGCGGGTGGCGCGGCTGGTCACGGGTGGGTCGCGGGGTGGGTCGCGGGGTGGGTCCCGGGTGGGTCGCGGGGTGGGTCGCGGGGTGGGTCGCGGGGTGGGTCACAGGCGGGTCGCGGGCGGGTCACAGGGGGGGACGACGCAACGACAAGCAGAATCTTCGCAGTGGATCCCCTTTTCAGCCGCGCGCCCGGGGACAGCGAATGACCGCTCGGCCCCCCTCACTCTGATCATAGAACCGACGTCGGGCCTCCATGGGCCCAGGGGCAGCACATTTTTTCAAAGCTCCAGGGTTTAGGGTTCAGGGTTTGGGGTCTACAAGCTCTGCCGCAGCTGATCCCCTCCTGCCTAGGAGCCTACCTGCGGTGGCCGCCAGTCCCACCCGCAAACCACCCTACCATTAAGATCATTTCTCCCCTCGTTGTAAGTACAGCGCTTGGGAGCGCATGGGAGCGCCTGGGAGCGCTGGGAGCGCTTGAGAGCGCTTGGAACGCATGGAAGCGCCTTGGAGCGCTGAAGAGCGCCTGGGAGCGCTTGGGAGCGCCTGGAGCGCTTGGGAGCGCCTGGGAGCGTTATGAACGCCTGAAACATCCTGGAAGTCATAAGTACAACACAGGATTCTGCGACAGCGGCGCACTTGGTAAGGAAAGTGTCATAGGTGTACGAACGCATAATCAGAACATCTTACTTTTGCAAGGGTGTACGTCCGCAGACGCGCACTTTCATTGTGAATCACAATGGATTATGCACGCATGATCACGAACTCTTACGTTTGCAAGGGATGGCTAGGATGTGCGTCCGCGGACGCGCACTTTCAGTGTGAATCGCAATGGATTACGCACGCATGATCAGGACATCGTATTTTTTTGCAAGGGATGGAGCCGGTTTACATCCCGGGTCGTATGTACTCGTGTGTTACCGTATGTACCCGTATTTGCCCGGTTTTACGGGGCTTCGGGCTTAGTAGTAATAGGATGAAGAATTTAGGGTTTAGGATCTACAAGCTCTGCCGCAGCTCATCCCCTCCTGCCTAGGAGCCTACCTGCGGTGGCCGCCAGTCCCACCCGCAAACCATCCTACAATAAAAACATGTTTTCCCTTCGTTTTAAGTACAACGAATGGGAGCGCATGGGAGCGCCTGGGAGTGCTGGGAGCGCTTGGGAGCGCCTGGAACGCCTGGAAGCACCTGGGAGCGCCTGGGAGCGCCTGGGAGCGCTTGGGAGCGCCTGGAGCGCTTGGGAGCGCCTGGGAGCGTTGTGAGCGCCTGGAACATCATGGAAATCCTATGGTAAAACACGGGATTCTGCGACAGCGATGCACTTAGTAAGGAACGTCTCATAGGTGTATGAACGCATGATCAGAACATACGACCTTTGCGACGGATGGTGAGGGTTTACGTCCGCGGACGCGCATTTGCATTGTGAATCGCCATGGATTATACACGCATGGTAAGGGCATTTTTTTTGCAAGGGATGGCGAGGGTTTACGTCCGCGGACGCGCATTCGCATTGTAAACCGCAATGGATTATGCACGCACGATCAGGAAATAATAGCTGTTGCAAGGGATGGCGCCGGTTTATATGCCGGGATTGTATGTACCCGATTTTTCGGTGTTCAGGGTTTAGTAATTTTAGAATTAAGAATCCACTAGCCCGAACTCGCAGCCTGTTGGGCGTGCCCCACCCACCCGTGACCCAAGACATATTGATCTCAAAACGACGACGATGTTGTCTCCACACCGCGTCGCTGGCGCTGGGCCGAGCCCTCCACCGCGTCACGGCGGAATCGTAGCGATGCGTTGAGACCCGGCTTGCGCCGCTCACCACCGCCGCCCACCGCGGCGCCCCCAGAAAAGCGTCGACGAGGCACAGCTGCGCCTTCCTCCGGGAGCTTCTCGGCGCGAGGTTCCCGAGGGAGGGGGGCTTCTGGGCGGCCGTGGTCGCCCCGCCGCGCTGGCTCCGTGGCGCTTGAGCGCGCCGCGGAGTGTCAGCGCGACGGGGCGGCCATAGCCGTTCGGAAACTTGGGGAAAGGGCACGGGGGCGGCGTTCAACCCGAACGGGTCGAGGTCGCGCCCGTATTTTTCGCAGAGGACTGACGACGCCATGTCTGGCATTCCGATGCCAGCATCTTTTTCCAGAGCGCCATTCCTGGCACTCCGAGGCCAAGAATCTGCGCGAGGGGTGCGCCGAAATTGGGGGCGGCGTAAGGGGCGCCGAAGGGCGGCCGTGAGAGCTTCAGGATTTAAATATTTATAGGCTCTTAATCCTCAGGGTAACCCGGGAATCCAGGGGAAGCTTGTCGGCCAAAGTAACGCCCAGTTCGCCCCCAGGCAGCGCCAGGACGGCCCGAGTGGAGGCTCCAGCTGAACCCAGAGCGCCCAGCGACAGCGGAGACGCTTCCAAGACGGCCCAAGAGACTCCCAGGACTGGCCCAGGAGGCCCAGAGACGACCCCTGGAAGGCCTCCAAAAGCAAGAAATCATTGATTTTCTTGCGGTCGTTGCATAGTTTCCGCGTCTTCGACTCTTCGGCAGTGAGGGCTCCCAAGACCGCCCGCATGGCCTTCAATATGGCCCCAACGCTTTTTAAAAGGCTCGACGACTTCTGCCGCCCTTTCGACTCGCGCTGGAACGGCTGCAAATTGTTCGAACTTCCCTGGGATATCTGTGGAAATTAATTGAATCTAACCTGATTTATCTCGATGTACCTGGAACTACTTGGATTTACTTCCATATATGTGCATTTACCTGGGTTTATCTGGCTCATTCCCACGCCCCATGAGGGCCGGGCCTCTCAGGAACCCTGGTGGGCCCCAGGCAGCCCAAGCTGTCCCAGAGGGCCCCAACGCGCCCCAACAGGTCCCCAAGATGGCCCCAGAGCACCCCCAACAGTCTGAAGGGACCCCCAAGACGGCCCCAATGACACTCAAGACGGCCCATCCAGCATGCGTCCATAATGCTCCAGGACGGGGCCCAACGACGCCTGGACATAGCCAGGAAGTTTTGCGAGATGCCCCCGAGAAGCCAGAAGAGCGTTCAGCTTGACCGCGCCTGGTGCGCGCGGCACGTGCGGCGCGCGCGCGCAGTGCGCTGCGTGGCCTTGGCCCTGCGCACGCCGGCCCCTTCTCAGTTGCAGGGGCGGACGCGCCGCGCCTTTGCCTTTCCTTTCCTTGCCCGCCCACGTCAGAACAACTGCTCTCGCTGTGCGTTACGCCCGTTTCGGCACGCCCATCGCGCGCTTCGTGGCCCCAGAGGGAGCTCCACCAAGTGCCTCCGTGGTGCAGTTGCGATGCTGTTCCCCGCCTACTTCGGCGCACTCCTCACACGTTTCGTGGCCCCGCATGGGGCTCGACCGAGTGGCTCCGTCGCGCAGTTCGCATGCGGTTCCCCACCAATTTCGGCACACCGCCACATGCTTCTTGGCCGCATAGGGAGCTCCACCGAGTCGCAGTTGACATGCGGTTCCCCTCCCACTTCATCACACCACTCACACGCTTCCTGGCCCCATAGGGAGCTCAGCGGAGTGCCTCCGTGGCGCAGTTGCGATGCTGTTCCCCACCCATGTCGGCACACCTTTCTCACGGTTCCTGGCCTCATATGGAGCTCCATCGAGTGCCTCCGTGGCGCAGTGGGGATGCGGTTTCCCATCCATTTCGGAACTCTCCGACACGTTTCGTGGCCCCATGGAGAGCTCCGTCGATTGCCTCCGTTGCGCAGTGGGGATGCGGTTCCCCGCCATTTTCGACACACTCCTCACACGTTTCGTGGCCCCATAGGGAGCTCCACCGAGTGCCTCCATGTCGCAGTTGGCATGCGGTCCCCCA